TCTATTTGTTTTATATAATAACGAAACAAACTACTACAGATAAAGCTTTTTTTTATTTCAAAATCTTTCAGCATAACTCGAAAGCCGGCCTTTGCCCACTTTGGAGAACACGCAAAAAGCCATTTGACGTAATCTATTGTCTATACAAATTGAAGCAATCCCATTGGTTGCTATGCGTAGCAAAGAATTGTGATTGGTCCGGAAAAATCACGCCACTGTCAAACTTGACTCGAGCGTCGCTTGTCGTGGAATGAAAACTTACAGCGAAAGCAGAATTGAACTGCGAAATCTACAAATCTTAAAGAAAATGCTGGATAAGTCAAGTCAGTTTTTGTTATCAGAGCAGCCCTGTGAGCGGAAAAGCTTGGATGTTGCCTCGAATATTGCGGGATTTGAAAAGCTACGCTCGGAAAACTTGCGGCTGCGGTCAACCTGGAGGCCATTCAATTCGAGTTTTGAATGAAAGGAGCGTTAGTGATGGTGGAAATTTGTGTCCTCTGTGGTTGGTGATTCTCAAATCAGATTGAAATAGCGTCGGAGACACCTTTTAGCTGCGATACAGTTGGCTGTGACCTGTAGTGAGCTATACTTTGCTCGCTGCTGTGGTCTGGAACGGACTGGAACATTCGCATCGGAAATCAAGGTTACGTGTTTATTTTAACTGATTTTAAGAAGTGGTTTTGATGTTTCATTCCAGACAATCACTGTGTCAACAATTATTTTGAGACAGAGAAAAGTTCAATGTTTTAAATAAATTAACCTCATAAACATTTTTTTTATTGGGTTTGTTAAATTCGAGATAAAGCAATGGTTCTCGGCTTACCAAGACTAATTTTGTGTTTGGTTTAGTCTCGCTCGACTGCCGATTGAGACTGCTCGAGTGTTTTTTCTGAGTCATTTTCTAAAACAGACACGGCTTTATCTTTCTTCTTCCTGCTAGACTATGCTTCTGGTACCTGTTCAATGCCTGGACAAGACTTCCTTGTACCTTATCTTTTGCCCAGTCATGTAAAATACTATTTAGATTCTCAAAACACTCCGCCATTTTAAAACACAGAGGGAAAAACTTTGAAATGATGATGTCAATCGTGCATCTGTCCTCTAATAGATCATAGGCGAGAACCAATCAAAATGCGAGAATAACTTGGGCTATTATATAATATAATATAGATGTCACTTAACCAAAAAAAAAAAGTTTCATGGCAACAAACTGTTTTAAAGTCCTATGGATTTGTTTTCCTTTGGGTTGTTTACAGCTGCTTTGAGGCTCTAATTTGATAGCGGAGTGCCGTAAAGAAGAAAACCTCAATAGGGCATTTTTATTGTAACCAACGACTGTAAGGATTAAGCGCTGTAATCTTCTTTATAACAAAACTATCGATCGTGATTGGTTCTCCCGTTTCTATTTTCACGTAATCGGCGCGCGATCACGTGGTTGTCCAATTACATACCTAAGTCATTCGCACGGCAATTACGCGTGCTTTGATGGCTTTCTTCACAATTAAAACGTATGGAGAGCAGTGCTGAGTTTTTCGCTACAAAAAAGTTTTGAAAAGACTTTATTTTTTAATTTCGAAATTAGTTGTAGATACCAATAATTAGTAATTGGACCTCGTGTCTTACAATATACCTACGCTATTATCAAGTCAATTACGTGCATTTTGATGGCTTGATTGGCTTCCTTCTCAATGTTTCCTACAGTTTTTAAAACGTATGGAGAGCGCCGCTGACTTTTTTGCTCTAATAAAGTTCTCAAAAGAAGTTTTATTATTATTATTATTATTATTTTGAAATAAGTTATAGATGCAATTAGTTGATAATTAGACCTCGTGTCATACAATTCTGGGAGTAATCGTGCTTGTAATTTCAAATCTGCCTTGCGCTACGCGCAAGTCCAATTTTGTAATTACTCGCGCGATTACCGTGTCTTGAATTGTAAATTTTGGCGCGAATTAGTTACGAATTTACATTGCAAATTATTCCAAATGTACGTGCTGTTGCTGATTATTATTCATCTCAAGTTGTTTGTCAGCTTCGTGGGTTCTTGCTCCGTCCATGTTTCTGCAAAGCAAGAGAAACCAGTGCGGCGCTAAGCTTGGAAAATAGAAGATTATGATGTTGGTGTAAAAATACAGATGTGCTCCATGTCCAGCTATCGATAATTCGACCTAAACAACGATAAACGGGACGTTAGACTTCATTACACGTGGTCACTACAAGTGCAGCTTGTTGTGTTTAAATGTGGCTGCTACTTCTTCGTTTGATGTTTTCCAGGTTAGTAGAACTACATAAACAGCTATTTTATCAACTAATGCTAGGTCTTTTGATTTTCTTTGGTTTCAATACTGTGCACATAGTTTTCGTAAGAGAAACATTTATTGTCTGGCGAGTAAATATCATTAAATAACCCACTTGAGGACCAAAAGTACATGTACTTGCGAGACAAACCGACTTCTCTCGAAGAAAATTAATACTTTCCTTCATTGTTTTTCGAGGAAAATTTGATTGTTTCTTTTGAAGACGAAACTTGAAATTCGGCAGTGGACATTGTCATTCACTGAAAATGATAATATGACAATGATTTAAATCCATGCATTTTATTTGTTAAACTCTCTTTGTGGCTCTTTTCGATTCCAAATCGCCTTCAACTGTTGCTTTTTAGTACAATCTTATATTTTAGATTTGTTTCAATCAGACTGAACTAATGAGAATGCATATCGTCTTGTTTGAGTGTACCCTCATCGCCAAACTGACGGCGCGAGCATTACCCGTAGTTGTAGATGTACTTTGTTTATTTCTTTCGGAAAAAGAATGTGATATTTTAAATCATTTGGTACATTTTCTGGCTTTTTCTTATAGGGGCTGTAGCGAAACTTGAGTTGAGAGAGCAGCAAAGAAGACTGCAATTTTCACTTATATCAAGCCGCATTCTTGCTATTGTTTGTGGATCACCTAAAATGGTACGCGCTATACTGTGACTAAGCATCTGTTTGTTTGTTTATTAGTTTGTTTCCTTGATAGTTGCACCATTAATTGCGGGTCTACATTCGTTCTGTCTTTAGACTTTGGTCAATATTTAGGTTTGTAATCGTTATTTCACGCTGTAGGTTTAGTTTCAACCACAGAGGAAGATCAATTCTTTAAACTCATCTGTGTACCA